CACTATTGCTCTGTAGGACAGCTTGAGGTCAGGAATTGGCCTAGGGACCCCAATGGAAGAGCTAGGGGAAGGACTGAAGGAGTTGAAGGGGGTTGCACCCCCATAAGAAGAAAAATATCAACTAGACCAGACCACCCAGAGCTCCCAGAGACTAAACCACCAACCAAAGAGCACACATGGAGGGACCCACTGTTCCAGATACATATGTAGCAGAGGATGGCCTTGTCTGACATCAGTGGAAGGGGGGACCCTTGGTCCTGTGGAGGCTTGATGCCCCAACATAGGGAAATGCTAGAGTGGTGAGGCGGGAGTGGGTGAGTGGGTTGAGGAGCACCCTCATGGAGGCAAAGGGGAGGGAGGAGAAGGGGAGTGGGATGGGGGAGTTGTGGATGGGGTAACCAGGAAAGGGGATATCATTTGAAATGTAAATAAATAAAATGATTAATGAAAAAAGAGAGAAGAATCTATTTTTAATAAAGGTGAGAAAAAGAAAAAAATCACAAAAAAAGGCTGATGGTACCAAGGATGAGCTGGGGAGAAGTAGTCACATGGCCACAGCGAAGGGCGCCAACATGTGAGAATGAGTTATCTGTTGAGCTGTTCTCAGTATGGTACCTTTGTCCATATAATATGATGGCACACCACCTAATAATGTTGGATACTGCGTGTTCCACATGGTGGATCACAGGCATGCATTCAAGGCATGCAGAGGGCACTGCCCTCTTCTTCGTGATTCACCTCTTTCCCACAAAGAATTTGCCTGAATGAGAGAGGATACAACAAACAAAGGGAGGTAGACAGTCTCCATTGCATTAGTCTCTATTCGGGGGGGAACTAGGGGGAGACAGAGAGACAGAAAGAGAGAGAGAGAGAGAGAGAGAAGGAGGACTGGATATGGTGTAAAAGAATCTCTGTTAGATCTATACTCAAAACATAAACATTCAGAACCCGTAGGAACTATTTCGAATAGCAAGGAAGAGAACATGGTCGAAGCAATAGATGCCCCCCCCCCAGGTCTGTCCTTTAACACAGAGTAAGCCATGTTTCAGCACGCAGAAGGGGCCTTAATAGAGGCTCAGTACAGAAAGCTACAATGATTACTGAGTTCTCAGCCCCAGATCTGCTTGTTGAGAAAGGCTTTCAAGCAAACGTTGAAAACTCCAACCAGAGCCTGGATCACGAGGAGGATTCTGGCCTGAGTGTGGAGGGACTGCTCTGAGAAGCCCAGAAGCAGAGGAACTGGGTAATGTGAGCACCTATCTGTCCTAAGACAAAGGCTGTCTAACCTAAGGGACTATGGCAGAAAGCAGTCCCCAACTGACTGGCTCTTTGAGTTATTAGGGATGCTGTTAACATCACCCACCAATATTAGGGCCTGGAAAAAAACAGGACAGCTCTTTTTAAGAAAGCCGGGTGCGCAGAGGTAGCAGTCAGTAACCAGTTTCATGGACTGCAGAGAGCTGCGTTCAGGAAGAAGCTAGGATTGGACGGAGGACTTTGGTGGTTTTCTATAGGTCCATGGTAGGATCTGTTCTTTATGGGGCAGAAGTTCTGTCACATAAAGGGTTTGGACAAGTATTCAAAAAGCCTGCAAAGTACAAAAGCAAGCAAGAGATGACTGACTGAGCAGTTAAGGGGACTGGCTGCTCTCCCAGAGGACCTAGGTTCAATTCCCAGAACCCTCATGGTGGCTCACAACCATCTGGAACTCCAGTTCCAGGAAATCTGACACCCTCACACAGACATACATGTAGGTTAAACACCAATATACATAAAGTAAAATTTAAAAAATAAAACACAAGAGGGGAGAAAAGATGGTATCTAGGGACCCATTCCTGTGAAGAGACACCTTGATCACAGCAACTCCTATAAAGGAAAACTTTTATTTGACACTGGCTTACAGTTTCAGAGGCTCAGTCCGTTGTCATGGTGGGAAGCATGGTAGTGTGCAGGCAGACATAGAAAAGGAGCTAAGAGTTCTACATCTTCATCTACAGGCAGCAGAAGGAGACTATATGTCACACTAGGTATAGTTTGAGCATAGGAGACCTCAAAACCCACCCCCACTGTGACGCACTTCTTCCAACCAAGCCACACCTCCTAATAGTGCCTCTCCCTATGAACCAAGCAGTCAAACACATGAGCCTATAGGGACCATACCTATTTAATCCACCACAGATGTTAAAGTGCACAATGAACTATGTCCAGGTAACTCAAAGGCAAATGTAGGAATCCATGTGGAGCCAGATTAGCTACGAAAACAATGAACAGAACCGCAGACGCTGTGTTAGTGATTTAAAGCCCACAGAACGGCTTCCAGAAAACACAATGAGTTGAGAATATTATGCTTGGCCTAGGGGTGCACAGTTACTTCCCCAAAGCATGTGGCGTAGAATATAATTGACACAAAGACTGTCTGCCCAACCTAGGATCTTTACAGCAGTAGATTACAACCTCTGAGGCTAAGCTAGGCCAAGCAGTGCAAGCCAGCCCTGAAGAGTGACTGAATGGATTATAGGAAAGATCTGTAGATTATAGAGGGATATTTGGAAGAAATTACCCCCTACCCATGTGTCTTAGCTAGGGTTTTACTGCTGTGAACAGACACCATGACCAAGGCAAGTCTTATAAAGGACAGCATTTAACTGGGGCTGGCGTACAGGTTCAGAGGTTCAGTCCATAGTCATCAAGGCAGGAAGCATGACAGTGTCCAGACAGGCATGGTGCAGAAGGATCTGAGAGTTCTACATCTTCATCTGAAGGCTGCTAGTGGAAGACTGACTTCCAGGCAGCTAGGATGAGGGTCTTAAGCCCACACCCACAGTGACACACCTATTCCAACAGGGCCACACCTCCTAATAGTGCCACTCCCTGGGCCAAGCATATACAAACCATCACACCATACCAATGTACCCGATATTACTCGGTTAATGAAGCCATTGGGGTAAGTGATGAGATCTCTAAGAACTGTAGTAGGCCTTGCTAATATCTCTCTCTTTTAGCATCCCCATAGCAACCGAACATCAGTTGTCACTTACTCTGATTAGATGATGGTGGGCCTTCAGACAGACACGGGAGCCACCAATCTGCAAAGGAGATTTTGTTACATAGTGCTAATTTTGGATTGATTGTCTTAGAGATTTGTAAGAGGCATCTAGAAGAATAAAGACGTTATTTAGTGGGTTTAAATGAAGGCTCTTTCGCACCCATAAAGTTGAGTAAAAAAAAAAAATTCTCAGTGCCAGATGTGGGATAGCTCTTACAGATTGTTATCTAGAGGAGTCTACAAAGGCTATACCTACTACTGTTGGCTGCCTGCCCGAGCTGGATGGCAAGACCCTATTGCCTAAGGTGGCACACACATTGACTGGAGACTATGACTGAACTGGAACCTTTCTCCTGCTTAGTGCTGGAAGGTATTATAATGGTTACTAAGGAAAACTATCTCCCACAGTTCCACTTGGCTATGGGCCCTACATGCTGTACCAGGCAAGGTGGGCCTACCGGCTTAATAGTGATGTAACTTTCAGGTACACACCCGACCACTTTCCAATTGGATTTAAGGCCCTCTACACAGGAGAGAACTCACATCTGGTGCTGGAAACTGGACTTAAAACTCTCAGCTCCTCCTGCACCATGCCTGCCGGGATGCTGCCATGTTTCCTGTCTTGACGATAATAGACTGAACCTCTAAACCTGTAAACCAGCCCCAATTAATTAAGAGTTGCCTTGGTCATGGTGTCTCTCCACAGCAATAGAAACCCTAACTAAGACACCCACAAAACTCACACATCTCGGAAAGCTCCTGAAACTTACACACCTCACAAGGCCTCTCCCCAAGGCTGTGTACCCAGTAATGGTTCCTGCAGTGAGAAGACGCCTGTCAGTCATGCAGGGCGTCCTAAAGCTCCATCTTTCCTGAGTTGTGATATATGCTGGGGCGTTACTTAGTAGGATCACACATGTGAGATCGTGGACTTCTTTTTCTATGCGAGATTTAGTTCACTTAGCACATCGCCCTCCAGATTCACCCATGTTCTCGAAATACAGAGTTTATTTCTTTTTAAAGCTCCAATTACACAGCAAGGTGTATTTACCCCACAGCCTTTCCATTCATCCACCAATGGACACAGAAGTTTCTAGATCTTGGCTCCATTGATAATAAAACAAAGAACATAAGGACTTAGCTATCCTCGTAAATCAGAGTACTGATTCTTTTGTATACACAACCCAGAGTGAGAGTGCCAGACCAGATGGCAGACCATGGTCTGAATGCCTGAAGTTTGACATTTTCAAGCCCCCTGATTTATTGTTTGGTTAGTACCAACACCTCTGCTTTTCTGTCACAGAAAAGCAGCCAAATTCAATGTCACGAAGCTTTTACAATCTTCAAAAAGTTTTAGACTTTCCAGTTCTCCAATTGAGGTCTTTGATCTGCAACTTTTTGCAAACTGCACAAGGGAAAGCTGTCTGGTATGGATGGATATCCAGCTTCCTCAATACGGACTGTGGAAAGGGGTCCTTTCCTGCATTCACCTCAGAAGTGACTGGGGGTGGCTGGGGTGCTTCAGCAGACAAAGGTGCCTGCAGCCAAGCATAAATGCCTGAGTTCAGTCTCCAGGAGACTCCTACAGCTTTCCTCTGATCTCATACAGTCCAGAGCACATGCCCACACACACACATATGCACAAACACACACAAATAAATAATTGTTTAAAACAGTCATCTATCTACAAGGATACAGCGGAATGAAGGAATGTTGTGTTTCCTGGTTCCTGTTCTGGAGACAAGAGTCTCACACTTTACCCCCAGGCTGCCCTAGACTCCACCCTGTCATCCTGCCACACTTCACACCTCCCTTTCCTCAGTGACCTCTGGACCTTCTTATAGAGGATGCATCCCCAAAGGAACAGACAGGGACACCCACCATGCTCAGAGTGCCTTTCAGGTACCCACCGAAAATGACTTTAATTCCCTCTTCTGATATCCTTCCACAACAGATCAACCGACAAAAAGTTACCTATTGTCACCCCCGCTTCTGGCTAGCTTGGTTGCTGAAGTTCTGGCTGGGCTGGCTATCCTAGGAGCCCTGGCGTATTTCGCGTTTTTCAAGAAACTTGACAAGTATGGTACCCTTCCTCCCTGCTTGGGAACAGAAAAGGTTTTCTTCACCTCTGTCTCTAGACTGGACCTTCTTCTCACCTTTCCTACGTGCCTGCTTCTCATTAATTCCTTGGGGGTCCTCAAATCCCTGCCTTCTGATGACTCCCGAATCCCTCTCCCTCTCTGTTGCTCACGGTCCCTCTCATTCCCATATGGCTTACAGCAAAATACTTCACTGTATTTTTATGTCTCCCAGTCGGGAAAACCACAACAGAATACAACATAGGAAGAAACGAAAGAACTGGGAGAGAAAAGAGCAGCAGAGAAAGGTAGGTCAGAGGATCTAGAGGAGGCGTAAGCGTCGTCAGGGTCCCCTAGGACAACCCGGGATGGGGAAGGGGAAGAACCACCTCCCTGTGGGAGACGAGTTGGGGTGTGTGTGAAGATAGACCGTGCAGAGCACTCAAAAGACCCGCTACCCCGAAGTAGCATCCCCAGAACCAGAGAGAAATAGCAAATGACAAGGTGAGGGGGGCAAACGCTGGGAGGGGACTGCTTACATCGGAAAAGGAGGTAGCACCAAGAGAGGCGGCGGCAGCCACGGTGTGAATTCACAACCAGGATGCCAAGCAACTCCCAGGCTCCCAGGAGTGCTCCCCAACTCAGGAACCAAGCAACTGTGACAATGTCTCCCACTTATTAAAGGCAAGAAGTAACAACATTCTCGGTGAGGACAAGCTGACACTGTCCACCCAAGGTGAGTACAGCCACTGACCAAGGGGAGCCGGAAGGTTCCACCACTTGCCCCCACCATGGCATCCGGGACACCAGCCACTGGCCATTGTCTGACTCACAGAGCAGATCTTGTCTCCCCAGCCCTCAGTTGCTGTAGGTCCTCACCCCATCCCAGCCATGGGAGAACAGGTCAGTGCTGAAGGGAGATTCAGTCCACCTAGGCTGGGCAGTTCCTTTTGCTAATGGCTTCCCTCACAACCCGGAGGGCCCTGAGCATTCCTTCCCCTTTAGGAGACTCTGCTGTGAGTGTGAATTGTGTTCCTTGTCTTCATAGGAGCATGTCCCTGACACATGCCCCTGAGGAAAGGTTTGTCACGGCTCTGTGATCTGGGAGAACTCCTGCACCAGATAATCCAGGCTTCTGTCCTTCTTGCCTCTCCTCTGGTCCTAATAAGCTCAGTCTGCAAGACAGACTCTATAGCTTCCAGATTCTCTAACCGGCCATGCGCATCTCCAACCCTCAGCCCTCGCCATGTCTGCCACCACCTCCTTCTGCTACAAATCACAAGTCTTAGATCAGCCTTGCCTTTCCATGCTCTGGTGACTCTTCTCTCGCTTCCTTCCGCAGGTCACGGGCCCCAGGACAACTCTCCTCATGAGGTGAGTATTGCCACTCGCTCTGCCTGTTTCCCCTCAGAGGGCTCTGCAGGAACTGGGGACTCAGAGCCGCCACTGTGTGGTCAAGTGTGTGTCCTTAGTTCCTCACGAAACAGACAAGAATCTTCACCTCCTCTGTCCTTAGCCTGCTCACCTACACTCTGTCCAATACAAAGAGAGGGCAAAGGGTGTGACTGAGCCAGCACCGGTGTCGCTCCCAGCACAGACCCGAAAAGGAAGGGCCGCACCCTTCTCCCTTGTCGAGCTTCATCTGAACCCTCTCTGGCCTTCAGTGGAAGGGATTCCATTCAAAGCAGTGAGAGGTGCAAGTGCTGGGGTCTCTGTCTCCTCCTCTACCCTGCACCCTCGTTCTTCAATGTCTATCAGATGAATTCAGACAAGACACAGGGTATCGAACAGGAGACCGGCAGGTTTCGTAGAGAAACACAGGAGTCACGCCCAAGAGTGAGGGTGGGTATCGGCCAGAAGGCCCACCGCAGATGGAAAGTCCTCAAGAGGTGGACAATGGCCAGGGGACCACAGACTGTGTGATTAGGCAGGCTGGGTACTGTGTTCTAAAGTCTCTGCACAGACAGCCTTCCCGAGGCGTGGTTTCCTGTTCAGGAGATTGACAGATCACATGGACGGACTCTCAAAGGAGGGGACTGTTGTGTGCCTTGTTCTTTATCGGAAAGTATCTTACGTCCTTTTAGCAATTGAGGAAGGTAGTGTTTTCAAAGGTGTCTTCCCACTCTGGTCTGGACCAGTCTTCTCTCTGAGATGCACGCTGTTGGTACAGTCCTCCTTAGGGTCGTCTGTTGTTCTTTGTGCCTATCAAGGGAGGCTATTGTGTCTTATTCCACTTACGCTCTCACAGCTGGACCCCACCCACAGTGAGCACACACACCTGTCCTCCCCCTCAGACACACTTTGCTGTCCCTACAAAGGGCAAAGGCAGTCGATGGTGCACATCCTAGCACATCTGGCTTCCATTCTGCTCTGTAGCACATCTGGATATCTGGCTGTGAGTGACAGGGGCCCTCTCCCACAGCTCCGCTTGTGCAGAGGCCACAGCACAGTGGTGCTGGATCACCGGCAAGGTGAGGCTCAGCCCTGTGGTGCTGATGTCACTGATCAACACTCTTACTTTCAGGTGGATGACATCACATACTCTGTCAAGAACACCAACACCTAGCAACCCAAATGGCCAACTTCAGCCCCCAGGCTATAGCAGTCATGGAACCGGTTTTCTGAAGTAAAGAATCAACAGGATCCATCCTGCTGACCTCACTGCTGGTGTACCAGTCTCGCCTCTCACTGAGAGGTCTCTTTAAACTCAGCTGATAGCAGCGGGGAAGGGGGCTTGTAACATATACAGTGCTTCCAAGCTGTCTCAGGCCACTAGACAGGAAGGAATTGGTGGTGAATTAATTTGCCTGTTAGAGGAAAGGCAGCCCAGAAGGGGAGCCCCTAGGGCAATACTACCAAAAAGCAATAGATTAAGAATGGAGGGTGTCCTCATGCTGAGAGAAGTGGCTTTAAGGTTATGGTGACTTTGCACACAGACTCCTTGGGCATAATTTGCATATGCCGCTAGCTTCCCTGACTTTGGGTGAGCTTTGAGATTTGCTATCCCTCTTCTGGAAGTTCATCAAGCCAACTTCTCCAAACCCTCGTGTCAGTTGGACAGCCCCTCCTCTCGCAGGCACCCTTACTAAACAGAGCCACTGGGTCTGGGAACACCATTCCTTCTGGCCTGCTTTCCATGCAGGAAAATTCTCCTTTGTAACCCCTTTTCACAGGCTTTGGCTAGCAATCCTATGAAACTGTTTGTAGAGCCTCTCCTTTGGTATGTTTCATCCAAAAACGTTAATTAACTCTGGGACTGAATGGCTCTATTAAGTCACAATGTCTCGTGTTCTCCTGTAGAAAGGATAACAGATCCCAGTTGTCTCCATTTAAGGACCAGGCCTGATTTCGAAAAGAAGGCCATAAGACACCAGCTCCAGGAACAGACCATAAGTCCCAGAAACTAGGCCATAAGGCATCCCCTCCAGGAACAGATCATAAAATCCAGAAACAAGGTCATAAAACACACTCCCAAAGACCAGCCTGGGGATAACCACAAGAATGGGAAAATATCTCATCCCAGGATGGGTCATCTGTGCTGGGCAGTCCTACCTCATCCTGTAAACATTCATGACATAGGAATGCAGACCATCGATCACCTGGCACAGCCAATCAGAAGCCGACCCCTGTGACCTCCCCAGCACCCACCAATGAAATTTTAGATTGCGTAACCCACTCTCTAAATATACAAGAACTAACACAGTAGCCAGTCAAAGTTATACTAACGTCCCCGGTTTGGTCCCTGCCAATCACATTGCAGATTACCTAATCCTTCTAGAGCTTTCCCCTGGTTCCATATAAGAAGACCTGCACGCCTTTGTCTGGGGCCGCCATTTTGGAAAATAGTCGACCCCATGTGTTGGTTGTCTCTGCAGAATAAATGCTCTTTATCTGAGTCTGGGGTCTTCCTTCAGCAATCTTTGGACCCTTATGCTATGACATGGCCTGGCTGAAACATCTTCCAGAAAAAGAACCTTGAACTTTTACTATTGCACTATACAAAAAATAGAAAAATTAAAATTAAATGGAGGTGAAGGGCCTGGTGGGCAAAGTTCCATGTTTTTATTCCCCCCCCCATCACCCATCTCTGTTCATCTAGCTCCACCCATCTGGTTCTCCTCCTCCGTAAAATCCCCTCCTACTAGGCTCTGGTTACACAAATGCTGGCTCTTCTAGAAAAGTCTCCTCCACCCGGGGAGCAACTGCCACCTCCTGCCAGCCTTCCCAGCTGTCTGACTAGGTCTCTGAATGTCACATTTAGATTCCTTCCCCGACCTATGACCTGCTCCTCCCACTTTCCCACCCCTCTTCCAAAGGGATGAGGTTTCCCCCATCATTGCCAAGTGTGGCTAACGTAAACCCAGGTATTATGGCCCCCAAAAGCCAGACTAGCACACAAAGTCCCCTCATTCAGAAGGATCCATTCCCACTCCCATTGCTGTGAAGAGATACTGTGACCAAGGCAACTCTTATAACGGCAAACATTTAATTGGGGCTGGCTTCAATTCATTGTCATCATGGCAGGAAGCATGGCAGTGTTCAGGCAGACATGGTGCAATAAGAGTTCTATATCTTGACCCAAAGGCATTCAGGAGGATACTGTCTTCCACCCTGGGTGGGTCTTAAGCAGAGGACGTCAAAGCCCGCCTTTACAGTGCTTTACTCACTCTCTAAGTTACCTGTTGTTGTTGTTGTTGTTGAAGGTTAAACATTTTAATGTAACTTAATTTTAAAAACTACATTAGTTGCTCACAGATACTCAGTTCTCGCCAATGGTGTATTTACAATGAAGACTGCGTTTGGCTTGTACTTGACAGTTGAAATACAGTCAAACATGTTTTCTGTATTTTAAGTATGATTTATCCACTTTTAACATAAACTATAGTTGGTGCTAAGATTTTTATAAGCAAGATTAAACACAAAGGAGTCAATTAAATTTTAAAAGATACAATGAAAGCCAGGCAGTGGTAGCACACGCCTTTAATCCCAGCACTTGGGAGTCAGAGGCAGGCGGATTTCTGAGTTCGAGGCCAGCCTGGTCTACAGAGTGAGTTCCAGGACAGCCAGGGCTACACAGAGAAACCCTGTCTCGAAAAACAAAAAAAAAAAAAAGAA